CCAGTAGGCAACATTGTTTTGGCATAACCATGGCTCTGTGTTCAGCCTCTAAAGAATCAGTATCGTGCCGATGTGCATCAACCTGTCAAAGGTCAGCTCAGACCACTGCATTCCTATTGGCTGTTCTACTGCATATGTGCGTTCCTGTGCCGCCGGCAGAAGGGGAGAGCAAGCGGCAATGGCAAACAGCGCACCAGGTAAAATAGCTATTCCAGCATTGGCTACAACTGCCTACATGGCTAAACAACCCAAAAAAAGGAAGACAGAACTCGGTTCCCCAGAGCCCTGGCGTGAGGGTTGGCCGTGGGAGCGGAGCCGAGGGCTCTCCGCGGAAAGCGAGACCCGAGCCTCGGGAGTATGTGCAGGTCTGCGAGAGAGGGATGGGGCGGGCTGCTGCGCGGTGAGCCTCGGGAGTATGTGCAGGGCCGCGAGGGAGGGATGGGGAGGGTTGCTGCGTGGTGAGGGAGAGCCGAGGCTCCCAGAGAGGGAGAAATAGAACCAAGTAGGATAAAATACTCGCATGCTCGTCTGGTAGGAGGGGCTCAGGGTGGAGACGAGCAAAACCTAACTCAGATGAGACTCAAAAATCAACCGTTTTCAGGCTTTCTACCTACTGCAGCTTTAAGTCATTACTTGTGTTACATAATTTCATCATTAGATCTTACCCTTACTTAAGAGTTAGTGACGACGGGCTTCAGGCTGTTGCCAACGGGTCGTCCTCTGGTCGCGGGAATGCGCGTTCCCGCCGCGACCATGGGTGCTTTTCACAGCAGGCGTGCTTAATACGGCACAACACCTGTCAGCCGCGAACACAGATGCGGGGACGAGCCAGAGGATGGGAGAGTTTCTGCCGCAAACAAGCACCAAGACCCGGGGAGACATGGGAGCAGCTTCATGTGTTTACAGCAGATAGCAGGAGCGAGGACAGACGTCTCACTCCGCCACAACTATGCTGACAACTCTATTGTCCTACTAAGTATTGATAACAAGCTTAGTATTTTACAAATTCAAGTTTTTTTTTATTTGATGAACATGGCGCAGATATGCAAAAATGAACTAAATGACTGTGGGGCAGTGGGCAGGTAATATAATCATCACACCTTTACACACGGTAACCACCCCCCGCCTGGCATAACAACTTCTCTGGCGGAAACCCTGCAAATACTAGTTTTTGTGCTCACTGATATTTTGTTTGAGTTTTCTGGTGGTTTTCCCAGCAAGCCCACATGGACAGTGTGTCAGGTAGATCATGTGTGGATGCACAAGTCTGGGAAATCTTTAACCTGTGTGGGGATCAGTTTTCAAGGTGCACAGCTGCTGCAGCGGTAGTTGGCTTTAGGGAGGGTATGCAAGCGTGCTTGTGTTTCTTGACTGGATTTCGTCTTATAGTCAAAATCAGCATGGACCAAGTGATCTCTTTAGTCCTTGTGCCCGGCCTTCTCCATAGAGTCCTCCGTGGAGTGACAAATCCCTCTCAATCAGAAGAATTGACTCATAGGGAGACCCTTTTTTCAGGGGGGTATGGTGAAAACTTGTAGCCAGCAACAAGGTGTTTTTGTCAGTGTCCTTTTGGTAGGGTGTTGTAGTGATTGAGTCCTTGTTTTTCATAACCAACATGTCAAGGAAACTCACCTTTTCATTATTACAGTTCTATGTAAAGTGGGGGTTGCTGTCTAAACTGTTCAACAGAATGGCAGTCTGCTAATTCATCAGGACTTCCATCACAAATCCAGAAGATGTCGTCTATGAATCTGTACCATTTTAGAAAATGCAACAGTGCAGCAGTGACGACTTTTGTCTGTCTCAGCCTTCTGTCAGCACAGTGATCACACTAACAATGTAAAATGTTTGTGAATAAGGCCCCTGGACTTTTGCTTAGTGGTATGGTCCAGGGGACATATTCACAAATATTCCCAGAATACTCTCAGAGAGCTCCCAATTTAGACTAAAAAAAATTAGAAAGGAGTCCTAGCTTAGGAGTGATTTAGGAAAGTTCTCAGAGCAACTCTGAGCAAGGAAGGGACAGAAACTTTTATCTTACTGAGGAGGTGTGGCTGCCCCTGTTGCTAGGTATGACGCATTCTTTTAACAGATGTTTGGTTGTCAGAGTAACAATCTTGTGTGAGCACGCAAGGTGTGGACACCCAGTGGAAATGAAATGAACTGCGTGACAGCACGAGACTGTGAAAGTGTTGTCATTGTTCATGTGATCACTTCAGTCACTGCTGCACTGTTGCATTTTTTTTCAGTTTTTCAAATATTTTGATGTTGTGATCATTTTGTTTCTGGCATTATATCGTTATTGCGTTGGGTGGGAAATGTGTGTTTATCCCTAATGAGTTTGACCACAAACATTATCGCTGCACAGTCTTATCTCATAGCATTTTATTTACTCACTGCCATTATGTGTTTGGAGAATATTTAACCCACCTCTTTACATTTCCACCATTTTCTCCTCTCCTTAAGAAACTCTTAAAACTCCTCTTCTCTATTCCTAACAGTTTTTCACCTTAGGAGTTCTTTTAAGGTCTAAGGTGCATTGTGAATAACCTTTATCTTTACAAGGACCTGGTCTTAACTTTAAGGATTCTAAGAAAGCATCATAATTCGAAGAATTTTCCTATAATTTTTTTCACTCTGAGCAGCTCTTTATAGGATGCTTTGTGAATATGACCCCCATGCTTCCATGACCCAGAAAAAGAAATTGCACATTGTGCAGAATAAAACCGCACGTTGTAGCCTTCAATTTGATAAAGTATAATATATAGTCAAGAGGATCTTATATAGTATATACTACTAGGGATGCACAATAATATCAGCCAATATTGGCTTTAAAATAGAATCAGCCAACATGCTTTTTCTTAATTTACACAATAAATTAATACATACATTAAAAAGCACTGCATTTCATGTCTCCATCTGCTGGTGGGCCATCACCATAAGCGCATGCATGCATACTACGATGTTAATTCCACTACAGAAGAGACTTGATCACTAAATTAGGTAGAGAAAAAAGTGGATATGTCAATATCGGTATCGGTTATCCGTCAAATGAGTTGTTACATATCGGCACATCAGATACTGGCAAAAAAAATCCAATATCATGCATCCCTAGTATATGATAGTTAGATTATATGTTTTATTATCTAACACTGGTGTGGGTTACTATAATGATGATGATGTCGAATATTGGAAGTAGGGGAGACAGGGGTCGAATGGCACACTCTTCACTCTTTTACATATTTCTCTGGCATAGTTTATGTTAAAATATTCTAATCAGCAGCAAATGAAAGCTAAAGGTCTCAGCTGTAAATAAATATGTTTTAATGTGCACTTTTTTTTTTCCAGAATTAGGTGATTTGCGGTTAAATTCATGTTGTGCATTTGTGTCACCCAGCCCACATAAGAGATTGGTTGACGTACTGTTAAAATGCTATAGTTACAAAATATGAAGCAACCAATGGAAACAATTTGAGCATTTAATTCAAACGAGAACCAGAAAACATGAACATTTCATAAGATATCTGCCCATTTTTAAAACCAAACATAATTTTTAAGCAAGTTATCAGTAGGAATGTCTAGTTACTTTTGCCATTGACCATTCAGAATAATGATAATTAACTAACAATATAAACATAGTTTTTATTATTTTAAAATAGTTTAAATTTCTCAAAATACAGTTACAGTTACAATTGTTAGATTTAGAATTGATTGGCACATGTGCCAACCAATCCCCCAAATCAGTGTGCCAACCAATAGCGCTCACATTTGACCCAACTTTGTGATGAATTATGTTTGCCAGCTGCCATCACTCATCGCAGACTGTCAAATCATATATCAAAATGTAGCTGATTCCTTTGTCTCTTAACTAGAAATAAAAAAGCTAACACTTTGATGTTACATTTATGTTTCTGTGACCTTCTAAGGACCAAAAAAATAGCTGTGTGCCAACCAACCCTAGTCCCCCCTACCATGATAATATTTTGATTTTTGATTTTTTTTTGCCACAGTGATGATTTTTGCAAGGGCTATTTTGATTTTGATTTATAATAGGTATGTAGAGACAGGTAGATCACTTCATTTTAAAAAAAAAAAAAAACTCTGTGGAAGACCTTTGCTTTCAGTTTCACTAACTAGAGTTTTGTTTTGCTGAGTCATTAGTTTAAGGTCCACACAGCCTAATATATTTAGCCTCATACTTGCATTTGGCCATGTCTTGAGGGTGTTGCTGTCTCTGTCAAGTAGCTGTCCATTAGTCGCTTACTCCACAGCAGGAAACAATACTTCAAAATAAAAGCTCTGTGCAGGAAATTCACTGCACTCCAAAATGAAGTGTGTTTTTTACAAACTTGACACATTGGTGAGTCACTTCCAATCCATTCAGTATGGATTCGTGACCCACTTTTGGATGTAACCTATCAGTTGGGAACTGCTGGTATAGAATATAGGATATAGGATAGCTGCTGCTTTGGCTACAGTTAATGGGGATCATAATAAATTAAATTAAGCAATCACATAGGCTATGTTTTGTAATGTTTAGACACATACATACCTTACAGGGTACAAACAGAGTGCTCAAAGACTATAAAGACTCTTCAAGCACTCGAAGAAAAATGAACTTATGTTGTAAGTTATAATCATTGTAAATCAACATTTTAATTGTACATTATTCTAGCTGCACAAAGCCTAAAATCTCTAATTAAAATCAACTGTGCAAATTCTTTGGCTTTAGAAAATACTCGTCATCTTGTGATATGGCTTCTGTGACATGAACTGACTTATTTTGGTGGAGAGAAAGTGACAGAGAGCAAACAGGGACAGACAGAGACAGGTAAAGACCAAAGTGGACAGACTGCAACAGTTACAGACTGAGAGTGGCAGGGTGCTTTCAGAGAATATGCTGGAAGGTTGAGACGCCGAGATCCAGATTTGCTGGTCTGACTGGAAAGGCCGGAGGGGGTGTAGGCTGCTGCCTCTTGGAGCATGACAGGTGTGGTGAGAGACGAACAAAAAACAGAAACAGGCACAGAGGAGAGAGGAGACAGGGAGAGGTGAAAGACTGGAATAAAAATAAAAAATCAACAGGTGCAGCGAGGATAAAGCGGTGTTCCTGCATCCAGTGCTGACTGTGAGTATAGCACAATTTTTTTATACCAGTTTCATCAACACTGTGGAAGAGAGATATGTGTGAGATTGTGAAGGAAAGAATGAGGTTGCAAAACAGTCATGATTACACAAGAATGTAAAGTTCACAGTAACTTTTTCCTGACTTTGGCTTGATGGTGACTGAAATGAACCATTTTGTGGATCCAACAGAGACGGGCGGACATCAGGAGACAGAGAGGAAAAGACAGAAAGAGAAAGAAAAATGGCCGAGGCCCCGAAGATTGAACTCTTCATTAAGGTGAGACCGACAATAATTTTGATGTGCTGTGTTTAAAAAAATCTGCTAAGACACCACAGATGTGGATAACACAATATAAATGCAGTATCTGTATGTTATTATATGTATTTGGTGCTTCAGTATAGTGCTTCAGTATAGTTTATGTACTTCATGAAGTGATTTTCTTGAGCTCAAAATGTCTGGGATGTTCAAACATGCTGCTTGAGCTTGAGCAAATATGTTTGTTACAAAATGTCAGTACCCAAACACTCTAAAATTATCATTTTGTATGTTGCAATAAATTTCAGGGCAATGCTAAACTGAAAATGTACAGTTCTATTGTCTTTTTGTGCTGTACTGCACTGATGAAGAATCCTTAATGTCATTATATGTGTCACTTGTTATTTATGGACAATGTCAGTGTGAGAACTCGTGAGCAGGTGAAACTGAAAAGAGGCCTGTCCAGTTTAGAAACCTGTGTCCTGCCCTCTCAAAAATGCAATTGCCTCCACCTTGCATGCCTGTGACACAATTTAAGACTGTGGTGGAAAATGTATGATACAGCAGAGACACCACACACTATCTAAATACTAGGTTGTTCAATCTGTGTGTAAAGATGCCTCAACTCTCTTTTTGAAATTCCTCAGTGGAGGGTTTGGAGTATCAGAGCAGAGCAGGCTCGACGAGAATGCCTGTGCAGGTATTTGTGGTTTGGTTAAGAGCACAAAACCAACGTCCCGTTTCAAAACATGTTTATTGTTTTAATGTCACAAGCAGTGAGAAGAGAAGTTCATGTGTTCATAATGTCATGTCTATTTGTCTATCAGGCCAGTGACGATGGGGAGAGTGTGGGGAACTGTCCTTTCTGTCAGAGACTCTTCATGATTCTTTGGCTAAAAGGGGCCAACTTTACCCTCACGACTGTGGACATGAAGAGGTGACAACACATCTTTTTTATTTTTTCCATGAAGTTATTTGTATTAACTTTGAAACTGATAGGGGTATGACACATTAAAGGGACAGTACACCCCCCAAAACAAAAATCCATATTTTTCCTCTTACCCGTAGAGCTATTTATAAGTCTAGATTGTTTTGGTGTGAGTTGCTGAGTGTTGGAGATATCAGCCACAGAGATATCTGCTTTTTCTCCAATATAATGGAACTAGATGGCGCTCGGTTTGAGATGTGAAGTGCCAAAAAAATACATTTGAAAAACTCAGCAGCAATGTCTCTTTCCAGAAATCATGATTCAGTTGCTTAAGATAATCCACAGACCTTGTTGTGAGCAGTTTCATAAAGGAACTATTTTCTTTTTACCAAACTACACCTGCCAGCTAATCACCACGCAGAGGGAAGCATGCATTTCCTGCTAGCTCACCTAGCACCACTAAGCTAGCTAATGTTACATCTCAGGAGGATGCCCGAGCCTCTCATCCATGAGTAGTTACACCATTACCTCTGCGCGGTGATGTGGTTGGTGGATGTATATCGATTGAAAAAAAAATAGCTCCTACAGGAAACTGCTCTCAACATGGTCTCCGGATTATCTTGAGTAACCAGGTCGTGGTTTCTGGAAAGAGACATTACTGTTGAGTTTTTCAAATGCTATTTTTTTGGCGCTTTGAGCACCACAGTCCCGAGCACCATCTAGTTTTTTTTATATTTGAGAAAAGGCAGACATCTCTATGGCTGATAGGTCCAACATTCAACAACTCACGTAATAACAATCTAGACTGATTAACAGCACTACACACCTATTGTATTTCAATTTGACTCCAAAGAAAAGGTTGATGTGAGGCATAAAACTCACGAGACAATGCTTGTAGACCATGGAGTGTTATGGTCTGAGTGTCATCAGATTTCAGACAGGTTGTGGGGGGCTGCAACAAAATGCCAACAAAAACGGGGTGAAAATGGTGCAATAACAATGCACATGGACAGACAAACACATTCACACTTACTGTATACTGTATAATTTATAGTTCAGGAGGAAATGAGCATACCTAGAAGACACCCACACACATTGAATAATAATCATAACAATCCAGAGAGATTAGAATTTTAAACACAGTAGTACAAATAGTATTGATAAAGCAGCGGTGCTCCCCAGAGATATTTCTTAGTGGTGGCCACTGAAAATCTTGGGATGGCATAATAAAACTAAAAACCAAAGCTTAATTTCAGGAATTTGCTTACTGATGTGCTGTTGAAGTAAGTGAAAACTATGTGAGAGTTATAGGGACCCCCTTAAAAATGGTACCAATGGATGCCTTAAGTTGTCTAGTCTCACATAATACTGCTTCCTTCATTCCACTCCTACCTTTACCTGGGGGATGGTAGCAGCAGTTGTATCAGGGGGGGCCATAGCACCCACTGGTCCCCCTTAGGGGCACCGCTGCAAGAAAGTTAGAATAACACAATCAAGATTTTCTCAGACAGTAAAGATTTAACTCAAAGATGCTCAGTCTGCTGGTGTCCTTAGATGGTCAGGGAGGGTACAGATACATTTATCAAAGCATGTATCTGAAGTAAATCAGACGAAACCAAGGAAAGCCATCTCATTATTTCTGCCTTCATCATTTGTATTTGTTTAGTTCAACATTTGCCATTAAGATAAACCTTGTTTGTTGTTTGCTGTTGTGTTGCAGGGCACCTGATCAGTTGAAGGCTCTGGCTCCAGGCTCTCAGCCTCCCTTCCTTATCTATAATGGTGAGGTCAAGACGGACACTAACAAGATTGAGGAGTTCCTGGAGGAGACCTTAGCCCCGCCACAGTGAGTAGACTGCATTTTGATTGTTAAACATATTTGTTGTTGCCTGCTCCATTTCCAGACAACTCGAACTCGGTGGAGTTGGCGGATTCCAAGGTCTGGGCCCGGGCAATGTTTCAGTCATTATCCCACTGCATTCACAACATTATCACTGTACCCATGGCAGGTATCCAAAATTGTGCTGTCGATACAAAGAGTCCAACGGTGCCGGAGAAGACATCTTCCAAAAGTTCTCAGCATATGTAAAGAATCCCAGACCTGAATTCAATGAAAGTAAGGGGGCGTTATCTCAGGAAAGCATTTACACTCATTTTGGAGACTGTGACCTGAGGAATAATAAAAGTCTGTTATACCTTTCTGCCATTTAGTGCAGGAGAAGAAGTTTCTTTCATCTCTGGTGAAGCTGAACTGGTACCTGGAGACGCCTCTCCCTCATGAGCTGGACCAGAAGCCCAATGCCACTGTGTCTTCACGCCTCTACCTGGATGGTGACTCCCTCACCTTGGCAGACTGCAACTTGCTTCCCAAACTCAACATTGTCAAGGTCAGCAGAGTTCAGCAGCATAAAAACTCTACTCAGAGATCTGTTCATTTTTATCTCAGTGGCAAAGAGGAGTTAAAAGTGGTAATGAGCCATATCTGGACTGTTGCAAATTATACAATCTTAAAACCCCTCTTCCCTCAGGTGGTGTGTAAGAAGTACCGTGACTTTGACATCCCCACAGAGCTGAAAGGTCTGACGCGTTACCTGGACAATGCCTACAAACAAGATGAGTTTCGTTACACGTGCCCAAATGACTCAGAGATCCTAATTGCCTACCATGCTGTGGCAAAGTACCTAAATAAAATAAAACAATGAGAGTGTAAGTGGGAATAAAGAAGAATAGAGTGAGAAATGTGGAGAAAGAACAGAGAATAGGTGACAAAATGCCTAAAAACTGTACATGATTTATATTTTATTAAGGCCAAAATAAGAGGCTGGATGATAAAAAAAAATTGTTTGCAGTGGCATGATCAATAATTAGCTTTCTATAAAGAAGTATTCTTGTTTTCATCAGTTGGGTTTGAATACATCAGTTGGGTTAAACTACTTCTAAGTCGCTTGAAATGTGTATTTAGACGCACTGTACGTATTGTTGCATGCGCTGATTGTACTGACGTGGATTTCTTTTTTAGCCCCAGTAAGAATGAGAAAGCACTGTAAATCCCAGATAATATTTATGTTATGTCTCACTTTGCATGCATGTGTTGTGTCTAAGCATTTATGCTATGTTGATTGCTATATTTTAATAAGTACATCTTGACGTGAAATCAGATGCAATTTTAAATCAGATGTTATATATTCAGAAAATTACGAGTGTAAACATAAAAAAAAAATGGCCTTGGCTATAGATAAGACAAACTGTAAAGTTGCTCTGTGCTTTTAAAGTGTATGGACATCCCTAATGATTATTCATAGTCCGTCCTCTTCAATTATTTGTTTGTTTGTTTGTGTCTCTGTGTGTAAATGACTGCATGTAGTGACTCAGTTATGTTTAACTTTGACATAGACAAAGACTAATATTTTGATGTGGTAACTATTAAAGACTACGTGAACAAGTTTGGTGTTGGTTGTATCAATGTCGGGATAAATTGCAATGATGTGTATCATTAAATGTCAGGAAAAATATATTAAGTTATACATATGAATTTATATACAATAATTGTATATGATGAAATAAAAGTTTTTATTCTTACGTCTCGACTATATATTCACTGGATTATTATCACTGATGAAGTGATATGTAAGCCGCCTTAAGGAGGTGTTAATTTTAACTAGTTTGTATGCTGTTGTGTATTTAATTTTACTGTAAAATATTTGGCCTCATGTTGCAACATTCTCTTAAAATTTTCTTATATTTTCTATTAAAAAAACCCAAAAAAAAACATAAGTCAACTCTAGATGTACCAAACACTCTTAACAACTCTGCTCTTACCTAGGTCTGTTTAATGATGACTCCACATTGATGATAAATAATCTATTAGCACAGGTAACGCCCTCTAAACACTGTTTAAGGACAGGTGTTGTGTCATGTGCAAAGAATCTGCCACATCATCAACATTTGAAGATGCCACCAAACAAAGGCTGTAAGAAGAAGGAGAACATCTGCAGTGGTGAAATCAATGTTCTGGTAAATACACTTAAACCAAGTAAATGTGGTTTTCCAGTGTGTCTACTGGTGTTACAGGAAAAATCCAACGATGGCAAAACATTAGCCATGTCAGCAGCAGTGGTGGAGAAGTATTCAGATCTTTTACTTAAGTAAAAGTAGTAAAACCACACTGTAAAAAAAATACTCCTCCATACTAGTCCTGCACTGAAAATGTTACTTAAGCAAAAGTATGCATCAAGAACATGTATTTAAGTATTAAAGTAAAACACGCATGCAGACGAGTTAAAACAAATCATAAATATAAGTAATTAAACAAATTAAAAGGAAAAGCAGAAAGTTTTTGCATCAACAATGGCTTAAACAATTGTCAATATAGCTGCCAATTAATTTTCTAATCAATCAACTTATCATTTCAGCCGCACATGTATATTTTCCTGTTGTTTGTGTGCAAAAATCTTCACTTGTAAAGTATGTAATAGCTAAAGTTATCAATTAATTGTGGAGGAGAAAAAAGTAAACTATTTCTGTCTGAGGTGTAGTGGAGTAGAAAGAGATTAAAACAAACAAGTGAGGTACAGGTTCCTCAAATTTGTACTTAAATACAGTACTTGAGTAAATGTACTCAATTACACTCCAGCACTTGTCAGCAGAGAAGTGCACAATAACTAAAATTACATAATTGGATCAATGGAGCAAGTACAGTTGTATTTCTTTTGCCCTGAAATTTAATAATTAATTTAATAATTCAATCGTTATAATTACTCTAAAACATAATCTAATCTTTATATATTAAATTTAAAGATATATGTATATACATATACATATATATATATACATATATATATATATGTATATTTAAATTTAATACTTATGGGAAACAATTTGTGTACAATGAAAGCAAGATGGTTGTCTCTAATCATTTACCTCTGAAACATTGTATAATTATAGTATAAGAGTATAGTATAAGTATAAAGTAGCATAAAATGGAAATGCTCGAGTAAATTACTGTGTTGTACTCAGGTACGGTAATTTGGTTATTGTCCTTATTTATAACCACAAGATCTGATTTGATTTTTAAAGCCTTAATCCTTAAATTAAAATTGTGTGTTGTGCAAATGTAGTCAGTCACAGGACCTGTGATAGGAGATGCTCTCATGTTGTAAATAGGAAGTCCAGGATGTGCTTGCTTCGCTCTGACTGGACAAGTACCTTGAGCGGTACCAAGGTAACGGATGATATCGAAAACGCTATTGGTCGACATATAGACGTGGGCGGGACTAAGCAAGTGACAACATACAAAAACTTTGTTAGCTGCCTGCTAACTCTACTCCATCGTCTGTCAAGCAATGTTACGAGCCTGAAGCAGCACTTGTGAAATCCTCGAAAAGTAAGAACAGTGATTTCTGTCCACTGAGAATTTCATAACGTTAACGCTTAGATGTCAAGTTGACTTTTGTTTTATATAACTAGCGGTAATACGTGTAACTTAAGTCTACCAGCTGCTAGCTAGCTAGCTAGCTAACGTCAAGCTATAGCTAACGTGGAGACCACTTGAAATGAGCAACAGTCATCAGTTACCTTGTTACGGGCTAATTATGCTAACTTGTCGCTAATTTGTCATGTCATGTAGTCTCATTTAAATGAAGACACGAAGCCAAAGGATGAGGGTAGCAGCTGCTGATTCACAAATCCATGTTCCTGTTTTCATAGTTTCCCTTTTTCCCTCTGAACAACTCGTGAGCTCTTCGTGTTACCTCCTCACATGAACCCCCACTGTCTGTGTGTCACAACAGTTCCCCAAATGTCACTTCACATTTGATTTGCCGTGGTAGCGTTTAATTAGCACTGCTGTCTTGCAGGATGGACTGCAAAACAGAGGGTGACGGAGAATTCTGCAGATGGGCGAGTTCAGTAAGCAACACTATTTATTTTAACACAGAGTGAAACATCTGGCATAGCAACGGTGACTTTATTTCAGTTATTACTGATAATTTGATTTAAGCAACTGTGCTAACTGAACTTGTGTTTTTAGGTGCTGGTGAACAGCAAAAATGACCTTACATCACGACTGCAACAGTTTGTGGAGGATAGGATGCAGACAACCATGGTATGAAATAACAATTGAGTGTTACAACCCTTTCTACAAGCAGTTAAAGCACTGCCCTGACCTGTGTTGACAGGGGTTTTGTCTAAGGGCTACTTTTTATTTCATTGATTGAGTAAATATAGTTGTGGAGGAGTTGGGCTTCTTTTTGCACCATTTCCACAGACGAAAATATTCCAGTTTATCGGACCCACCATCCCTCTGGTTAGCATGTTTGAGATTCACAGGAGAGAGAATCAAGAATCAAATGTGATTTTGATTTCTTACAAGTACCTTTAACATGTTTTCCTACTCAAATTACAACCCTGATTTTTTTTTTTTTAAAAATGTAGGGGCGGTGTGTGCAAGTCTTTTCTCTGCATGTAAAGGGCAAGGCTGAAAACCAACATTGAATGCCTGCGACCTTTCACCCCTCAGGCTGCATGGCATTTAAAACTAACATGATTGTATAAAGGATCTTACTACATGGTCTGGGGAACACATTGTACAACCATTGTGGGTAAACACAGTTCCTCGCTGCATCTACAAATGCGAGTTAAGACTCTAGCATGCAAAGCAAAAGCCACATAACAACGATACGCAAAAACGCAGCCGACTTCCCTGGGCCCCAGCTCATCTGAGATGGACTGACACAAAGTATAAAATTGTGCTGTGGTCTGATAAGTCTATATTTCAAATTGTTTTTGGAAATCACTGACATAATGTCCTCCAGGCTAAAGAGTTTAACGACTATCCAGACTGTGTGAAGTTCAAAGCCAGTATCTGTGATAGTATGGAGGTGTGTTCATGTCCATAGCGCAAGTAACTTGCACATTTGTGAAGGTACCATGAATCTTGATACATATTCCAGCAAGACAATGTCAAGGCACGTTCTGCTCCTGTTGTAACAGCTTGGCTTCATAGTAAAAGAGTGCAGGTACTAGGCCGGCCTGCCTGTAGGCCAGACTTGTCTCCCATTAAAAAGGTGGGGCACATTATAAAGCCCAACGTACGACAACAGCAACCCCAGTCTGTTCAGCAACTGAAGTCGTATATCAAGCAGGAACAGGAAAGAATTTCAGTCTCAGAACTTCAATAATTTGTTTCCTCAGTTCCCAAACACTAAAAGTAAAGGTGATGTAACACAGTGGTAAACATGCCCCTGTCCCAACTTTGTTGGAACTTACAGCAGGAATCAAATCCAGAATAAGTGTATTATACGATTACATTTATCAGTTTGAACATTAAACAAATTGTCTTTGTACTGTATTCAATTGAATATATGTTGAAAATAATTTGCATATCATTGCATTCTGTTTTCATCTAAGTTTTACACTATATCCCAACTTTTTTTGGTATTGGGGTTGTATTATCCTGTCATATCACTGAGGTCACGTTACATCTGTTAATTAAAGTGAAGACTAACTGTAGTTTTTAGCATCCTGTCTGGTCTGGAATCACTTCCTGCATAAAGCATGTTTGCATTTATCCTTGCATCAAATGTAAAGAACTTGTAACATGTCTTAAGACCATACAACATACTGTTTCTTTTAAGTATGTATTATAAACTATTTTCATAGTATACTGTTATTTCTAGCTAGTGTAAGAAATCAATATTAGGCCTATGCTGTTTCGTACTAACAAACCATGACTTAGGAATGTTACTGCCAGTCAAACTTCACAAACACACTGCAAAAGATTAACCAAAGATTTAATACTGATTTGTTCCTTTTGCCCAGCAGTTAGCAGGTCTCCTTATTTAATTTTGGCACTCCATTGTGGGACAATATTGTACATCAACAGCACACTCCAAACTAGTGTGTTAATTATAATAACTTTATTAATATAGAGCCTTTGAAAACTACCATTAGAAACTGCTTCACACACAAGGACAAACGAAAAAAAGCAGGAAAACAATAAAATACAATTAACAATGACAAATAAAACAGCTAAAAAATGAAGGAAACTTGATAAAAGTGGACATAAAAGAACAGAATTTAAGATATAACAATTAAGAAAATGCAAGGCAGTAAAAGTGAGTCTTGAGAGACAATTTAAAAGAGGGCAGTAAATGTGGTCTAAGTTCCTCAGGGAAGCTACTCTAAGGGTGGGAGTCCTAACAGTATATGTGCATTGTGTGGTTATATTTAGTCTCTTTCAGTGTGAATTCACTGCATACTCAAAACCTGTCTCAAATTAGTTGATGGTATTTTACTCAAACACAACTTTGGACTTCAAAGCATAATATTACTAAGCTAGAGGATAAAACATCCTATTCTGCGGACAACTACACCACAATGCATTTTTCTGTGTCCATACAATTGTTACACTGCTGTTGTCTGTCTTCCAGCTCACAGGTGTACTGATTGGAGCTGCAGTCGCCATCACACTGATTGGGATCGTGGTGCTCTTCCTTTACAGGAGATATAAGCTGGCTCGTGAGTCATCCAACCTCTTCCTGAGCTTGATTCGTGTTCTAATCCTTTAATACATATTTTACATTTATTCTGTCTGCCTCTGATGATAAGGCTCTTCACAAAGGTATATATTTTCTTTTTAGTTTTCCTCAGAATGTGGTCTTAATGTAGTTTTATCTGCATTTTGTTTTTGGATTCTGTGACAAGGTGAAAAAGAGCCTGGCACACCACATTATCGCTTCAGAAAACGTGATAAAGTGCTCTTCTATGGGAGGAAGATCATGCGGAAGGTTTTCTCTATTTCTATTTCTGTCTCACACTCACACATAAATATTTATAGTCGGGTAGACTCGTCTCAGTGCTGTAAATTAGGCAAATAGACTTATATATTTATTTATACACAGGCATGCTGTGTGAATTTCTATTTCTACATTTACCCTGAATCAAACTGAATGTAATCCTTTAAGTTATTGCACAACAGCATGAAACAAGGCTGCAGTAGCTCATCATTGTAATGCACTCTGATACAGTTAGACTGAAAATTGCTCGCATGATTTAGCTAAATAATGAATGCATGATAAAATTACCTCCCTACATTTAATCAAGCACTTTCTGATATTATTTTCACCCACTGTCTCGATTTATTAGTTTGACTCCTGTGTTAAAATATAAATATAATCTTGAATGTGTTTGTTTTTCTAAGGTCCGGACGCTGTCCTCGATTCCTCCTCCCACCACTACCTCAGTATCAAAGCAAGTGCCACGCATACGCAAAAGAACCAAAGTTCTAAGCATAGCTCGCAAGTATGTACCATTACATTTTTGTGTGTTTTTAAGCAACAAAATCCAAATGTTTGCTAATTGTACGCTTCCTAAATATGCCATTTTCATGCTTTTTCTTGTGCATGATATCAAACTGAATAGCTTTGGATTTCTGGACTGTTGATTGGATAAAACATAACATTGGAAGATGTTACTTGGGGCTTTTGGGAAGTACGCAGGCCTTGGTTCACTAATTTTCTGACATTTAATTAACAAAACGATTAATTGAGAAGATAACGAGCAGATTCATCAATGAAGAAAATAGTTGTTAGTTGCAGCCCTAGTGTGCAACTTGAAACAATTCTTCAGAATTGGTTAGATATCTTTTGGTTTCTCTCGACAGAATCCTGAGGATCCGCAAAGATCCTCCCACTCTGCAGCCCAAGGAGCCCCCTCCCTCACTGCTGGAGGCTGACCTAACAGAGTTTGATGTGCAGAGCTCAAACCTGCCCTCCGAAGTCCTCTACATGCTGAAGAATGTCAGGTAGACAAATAAACAACTTCGACAGATTTAGCCTCTTTCATTGTTTCTCCCATTTGTTTTTATGATGTGTGTGTCCTGCAACTTTGTGGTTGTAGGGTGTTGGGTCATTTTGAGAAGCCCCTGTTCCTGGAGCTGTGTCGACACATGGTGTTTATCGAGCTGCAGGAGGGTGAAGGTCTGTTCAGGCCAGGAGACGATGACGACAGCATCTTCGTGGTCCAGGATGGACGGCTTGAGCTTAGCATCCAGGAGAACGTAAGTGGATTTCATGTTGATTTGTAGTTTTTTTTTTTTCCAGAAAAACTTGTTTTTTGCGTACAGTAATTTACCCATCATATTACACACTCGCATTTGATCTTTTTGAGAAGGTTTAAGCTATTGCACAGCTCTTGTTTCTTTGGCAGAGTGATAAACTGACTGAATATGAGGTAAATATCAAAGTAGTCCCCCTCCAGACATATTTTAAAGTATGAAATATTTGTCCTAATATTTTTGAACATAGTTTCCCACAAATAGACCAAAAAAAGAAAAGGGGCTGGAGGCAGATGTACTCTTCTCCCTCGTTGAGAAATTCTGGATCTGGCCTCTGCCCCGCCCACCTACGCTGCTTGTGCTAGGTTTAGCTTTTGCTAGGTTTTGCTTTTGCTGTCTGCTTTGTCCATCGCTGCTTTTGCTAGATTGACCTGTCCAAGAGTAGTACACACAATGATGGCAAGCGCTAGTGTTAGAGCAATCATTGGAGAGATTCATTCGTACATGTTTGAGTCTCAGTCAGACCCAAACTCAGATGAGAAGTCTGCTGTGCACCAAAATTTGTGTTTAGCAGACGTATCAGAATGGTAAGTATCATTAGCATCTTTATTTCTGTTGTGTGTTAGCTTGTAGGCTAAGTGGAAGTGCCTGACGTGGTGTTAGAGTTTGTGAATATACACTAATATTTGCTACAATGGGGTTGTTGGTAGACGGTGGAAGGAAGCTCCAGGCTCCAGTTTACATCCCCAAACTGCAAACACTAACATTAGTTAGCAAATATTAGTGTATATTCACTGCAAACTGTACTCTCTGTACTGACAAGTCCGCTCTGTGCTGGAGGTTTCAGGTTTCTTTGCTGGCATTGTGTCGAAGCCTGTTCCCCTGTCAATATGTGTTTGCCATATTACACAGAGACTGGCTTTTGTGTTCGCAACGTAGCTTGTCTCGCTTGCTCAGCATACGTTTGAATGTCAGATTTTAGGGAAGTGCACTGACATCGCCTCCTTCAGTAGAGGAATGTGAAAACACGTCTTTAGTGACAAACTTTGCACAGATACAAGTCACTGTAGTCAAGATCAGACATTTTATGTGACATAAACATAAGGAAAACACATTTTTTTGCAGAGGGGGACTTAAATGAAGTGTGAAGCAAGAGTATATGGATCGACTTTTTCAGTTTCCTCCTACACCTTCCAGTATCCATGTGCATAGCTCATGAAAAAATATGAACAGGAGAGGGCACTAATGCAACATTTATCTAGATGCAGTCTACTGCTTAGGGGTCAGCAAGTAGACAAAAAATGATGGCTCTCTCTACACGTTTTGTCTGTGTTTAAATGTGTTTTCTGTCTGCTGCTTGAATCTGTTTATATGTACAAATCAGGAGTACCATATCATTCCTAATTTAAGCTCCCTGCATTGTGGCTAGTTTTGGAAGTCCTCCTGCATGATCCTGCAGATTAGTTTGAAAGGTGGCTTTGCAGTGAAGTTAGACTCTGTTGTTGGTATCATTTCATGTGTTTTCTGCTTTTAGGATGGGACAGAACCAGTGGTGAAGGATGTGCTCCCAGGAGACAGCGTCCACAGCCTGCTCAGTATCCTGGACATCATCACTGTGAGCTTCTTATTTCCCCTCCACCTCATTTCTCCTCCATCAGACCAACCTCTCTGTCTCTGTCCTCTTTTGCCCTCTGATCTGTTTGTCTCCTCTCAATTGTTCATATTTCCACTCATGCTTCTTCCTGTTCACCTCAATTTGTTCATCTATTACACCCACATCACCTTGTGTCACGTAGTTAATTTAGGTATTTTGTCCAGTGGCTTGCTCTGTCTTGTTTCCATTACCTATGCCATCCTGTTTTATTTCTCCATTCAGGTTAAACATCTTTACTCAAAACTGCATCTTTTAAGCAGACCCTTCAGGATTTTTTTTCACATATTCACCCTGAATTCTGTGCGACTGTGAAATTTTGTTCAGTTACTGCAACTTAACTGTGAATTTGACTAATTTGAAATGGGTAAAATGTAATTTCATTGTAGAGCTGCAAGCAGCTTATTCATTCACTCAAACCTCAACTGTCCAATCAATCAATCCAGTCATTATTAACAGGTTTATTGACAGTAAAGCCTCTTTAGTGTGAATGTAACAGCTCATGTCAGATAATAACTGCTGCTGCGGGTCTTCTGCTCAAGCAGCAAACTATGATGAGTAGTGGTGAGATGTAGGAGATCAAATGATGTAGTGTGTAAGCTCATTTTAACTGGGCGGAGAGCAGGGGGAGATGCTCTCACAAGGACGGTCCTTCAGCGCTATGTCAAATGACATTAATAGCAGATGGGTGGCAAGCAGCTGTTGTTATATGCTTTGTGACGTGGTGCGTTATCCTGCTGGAAGTAGCCATCAGAAGATGGGTACACTGTGGTCATAAAGGGATGGACACGGTCAGCAACAATACTCAGGTCAGCTGTGGTGTTTAAACCATGCTCAGTTGGTACTAAGGGGCCCAAAGTGTGCCAAGAAAATATCCCCCACACCATTACACCACCACCACCAGCCTGAACCCTTGATACAAGGCAGGATGGATCCATGCTTTCATGTTGTTTACACCAAATTCTGACCCTACCATCTGAATGTGGCAGCAGAAATCCAGACTCATCAGACCAGGCAATGTTTTTCCAACTTTCCATTGTCCAGTTTTGGTGAGCCTGTGTGAACTGTAGCCTCAGTTTCCTGTTGTTAGCTGACAGGAGTGGCACCTAGTGTGGTCTTCTGCTGCTGTAGCCCATCTGCTTCAAGGTTCAACGTGTTGTTGGTTCAGAGATGGTCTTCTGCAGACCTTGGTTGTAACCAGTGGTTATTTGAGTAACTGTTGCCTTTCTATCATCTTGAACCAGTCTGGCCATTCTCCTCTGACCTCTGGCATCAACAAGGCATTTATACCCAGAGAACTGCTGCCCACTGGATATTTTCTCTTTTTGGGGCTATCCTCAGTAAACCCTAGAGATGGTTGTGCGTGAAAATCCCAGTAGATGAAATACTCAGACCAGCCAGTCTGGCACCAACAACCATGCCACGTTCAAAGTCACTTGAATCACCTTTCTTCCCATTTTAATGCTCAGGTTGATCTTCAGCAGGTCGTCTTGACAATGTCTACATGCCTGAATGCATTGAGTTGCTGCCACATGATGGCTTTGCAATTTTCACTTGCCCCCCGCAATTTTATTGCAAAGAAATGCCCATAAACATTGGACTATGCATCGCAATTTTTTAGAAAAGCTATCGTAAAATCAGGTTTTTCCAGCTGCAACAATCCCAAAGTCAGCTCGCAAAATCCTGGAGGCATTGTTTAGGGTTCCTGTGATGGTTTGGCATGTGTATATGATTTGTCAACAACTGTTTAGACTCAGGAAAATCAAGAAATCAAAGCTTGTTAAAGAGTTGTGAATAATGCTCTTGGTCCACTTCATTATTACACGGACAGGTTAGGAGGTTATTGACACTGAAGTCTAATATGTGTATGAGATTGACTGAGGAGACTGCTCCCTCTGTCTTAACTTTATTCTTTTTCCTGCCTTTGACAGGGTTATCCAGCTCCATATAAGACTGTATGTGCACGGGCTGCGACTCGCTCCACCATCCTACGTTTACCTGCATCAGCCTTTGAGTCTGTGTTTAAGAAATACCCAGAGACACTTGTTCGCGTCATTCAGGTAACGGATTGTTTAACAATAAATATACACTGTGCAGTGTAGTTTTTCCTCAAGACAAATTTTCCTCCCCCTGGTGCAAAACATTATTGGTTAAATATGATCTAATGTAGATATAACTACAGTCTGATGTATATAATGTTCTGCTCTGTTCACCTCAGTGTTTGATTTTATGTGTGTTGCAGATAATCATGGTGCGGCTCCAAAGAGTCACCTTCTTGGCGCTTCATAACTATCTGGGCCTAACAACTGAGCTCTTCAATCCGGTAGGAGGGAAATTAATTAGTGCACACACGTTTGCGTGTATACACACAGTCACACAGAGGGGTTCACACTGAATGCCTAAGCACCGGTGGGTATAAATTTGTACATAAACAAGCACAGTAAGGCACATACACATCAAGTCACACACATGCAAGCTAATTTCACCCAACATTAAGCACAGTATCATAACTCGGTCCTTCATAAAGCTCTGTGAAAATGAGTAAAATTGATTACGACCCCTCTGCAGGAAACAGGGAAGGCAGTAACCTTTAAACCCGGCTTGCCTCAGACTTTATGATGTAGTATGATAATGAACCAGAACACTCCTTAAAATCATTTGGGAAGGGAGTATGTGGAAAGGTGTTGTCTTTGCCAGTTCCTGAAGGCTTTTTTTTTTAAATTATCTGTTACTGTTTTCATAATAAGTCCAGTACTTGCTGTTAACCAAGTGTTTGAGTGCACATGATGGTTGCCTAACCTACCTTGCACATAGACTACATAGCTATTGTGATGTCACCCTTGGGTTTGTTGTTTCCTATTTTAAAGCCTCAAGTTCAGCATTTCTTGTTTTTTTTCATTGAGGCTCCATTTTTCAGCCCTGGAGGTTGCCGCTCGATCCTGCGTCTCTTGTGCACGTCCACAGAAATACATGCAAAGCTTTTGCAAAATGTAGCACACACATAAACAGCAGGGGCAGTGTTGGCAGGATGAGAGGAACATACTCACCATTGTCATGACATGCTTGATATATACAATCTGTGATAGCGTGCTGCTGTCGCTTTTTATGATCTCAGAATTAATAATGCAGTTACCTCCTGGAGTGTCTCCATGTTCATTGTAAACATCAGGCAAATCCCAAAGTTCTATATGTCTTGAGGTCTCTGGTGTACCCTCTAGTGGAATCCTTTAGTAACATGTAGTACATTGGCCGGAGGTACAGTATACTTTGCTTTTATCGTAATTGTTCACATACCTGCCTCAAAGTCTTCAAACATTCTCAGGTAACTTATAAATTAAATACAATAGAAAATGAAGAAGGAAGTGATCACCAAATGGAATAAATACCATCAGTGTTTTTACTAGTACCACCCACTGACCCACATTGGATATTTTACTGTTTTTTGATTTTGTTGATTATGATGAGATCAGTGATGATCTCAATATGTTCATTTTCCTGTTCTTCAAATCCACTGTGCATAAACACTTTATGGATATTCAAGGTGTTAGTGTAGTCCTGATTAACTGAAACGTGGACTGTTAACTTATTTGTTTTGTTGCCTAATGGACAGGAGAGTCAGGCAGTGCCCTTGTCCAATATAAACAATGTGATGGGAGAGGCGGCTTCTGGGAAGACGACTCGTCGTTTGCACTTCCAGGACGAGTTACCCGCTGGGACCACGGAGAGCCCCACAGAGACAGGTCACACTCACACACACACATAAACATACTTTGCGCACACATTTGAGATTGCGCTTTGTGTTGTGTTGAGACTGATCCAGTGCTGGCACTCTACCATAAACAGATGGTGTAAAGGACAGCCCTTCAAATAGCTACAGGAAGCCGCGATCCACCTCGGCGCCCGCCGACTGCGCAGGTGGGTCACTGACTTAGACATAAGTGATCACCAAATGGCACATGTCTGCGCTAATTTCCTGCAGTCACTGATCTGAAAGCAAGGACACGGACACCAACGTACCTTAAACTCATAATCCTCCTCTTTGTCCTGAGTTGCAGGTATCGACCTGAACATGGCTTGCGAACGAGCCCGAGTCACTATAGATGAAGCTCCACCCAGTCCTGTCATTCCCAAAGTAAGACTCTCCTGATACATCACCTCTTTACACTGAATCAGAGGGCAGCGGTAAAGATGTAACACCCTGTCCCAGCATCCTCTGCATCTTATGCCACTGCTCTCTCTTATGTCTGTCTTTGTAGTCTAGTCTAAAGAAGAGTGTTACAATGCAGCACACGCCCTCTGAAGTGTTTCACTACACAGACGGTGGGGGGCACTCTGATGCCATCTACCTCAGTAAGAGCTGCACAATCCTCCAGGCTGCAAAGAGGGACCTGCTGGGAATCATCCAGCTGCAGGTGAGAGCTCAATCAAACAAAATGAACACCAAGTGTTATTAATATTTTAGGGCTTACCACATTTTTCAATATTAATTTTGCATATTGTGCAATGTGGCACATCTTATGGGAAAATTCTGATCACTGTTGTGGATAGATAAGGTGTGGCAGTTCTTGTACATAACGGGAGCTTGCTGTCTTTTGTGATTATATAATTTTTTCTGTCCCAGGACCCCAGTCTGCTTGAGGGCAGAGTGACCCTCCATCAAGTCAAAGCTGGCTCCGTGGTGGCTCGTCAGGGAGACCAGGTCAGAACAACAACTTACAAAGAGTTACAACTTCGTTTCTGTGTCATGACACTGAAGATTTATTGCAAGGCTTTTTACATTTTTGCTCTAGGCTGTGTAGAGGAACCTTGTGTATTTTTAATGTATTAAACATGCTCTGTGGTCCCTTCAACAGGGAAACTTTAACCGCATTCACCTGTTGTAATTCAAAACAGGAGTTTAAATTCTCATATTGCCTTTAAATCCGCAAGTAAAATTCATATAATATCAATAATGAATTAATGCTGTGATAATTTCTGTGGAATTAATTTTTGACAGCAAATCATTGTGTCCCAGTAGCACACCTGAATCTTGGCATTCGCCTTCAGACTGTCAAAATTTGCACTCTTCTTTTTTCCTGGCACTTTAGGAGGTGAGCATCCAGTTTGTGATTTCTGGCCTCCTCCACGTTTACCAGCGGATGATTGATCGTGAAGAAGACACCCGTCTGTTTGTGACGCACCCTGGAGAGCTTGTAGGTCAACTCGCCGTCCTGACTGGAGAGCCGCTCATATTCACTGTTCGAGCTCAGCGAGACTGCAGCTTCCTCTCCATTTCCAAAACCCACTTCTATGAGTGAGTCACATGGACGCATCTACAAACACACCCATGCAGAAATAGATACAGTGTGGAGTTCTGCGCTACCAAGGGCAGGGACTGTTTGGAAAATGCGAGGTTGGGCGCTGGGTGCTACCCTCGTGCCTACTCTGGGCCAGCTTGTAAGGGCGTGGAGGCAGGTTGTGCTAGATGTTGCCAAGCAACCATACAAAGCACTATATCATAGCCTACTTACTAGACATTGAGCTGATTCTCCTCTAGGCGTTTTTTAAGTTTGTATTAAGCCTATAATATTATCTGTGGGACAAATGTAAAACTCTAGGTAGCCCTACACTAAAATCTCTTCTCCATATTTATCACAGACTGATATTTACAGAAGAAAGGAAAGATATCTGCCAGCTGTGATTGGTTTTTCCTTATCAGATGACATGCAGCGCGTGTTGCTGTATTCCAAAAGTTGAAATTTGTTTATCTCAGGGTGCAGCCATTGCACATTGTGACGGTGTTGCTCTCGCTTTTGAGCGTGCTGTCCAAGCATCTACATTGAAAACAACGGATTTGAGGGCACAGAAAACACAGCGTGTGTACTGGCTCTCACAAAGGCAGAGAGCGGTAACTATAAGTACATGATGAGGTTTTGAGGCCAACTTTTATAAAAGATGTATTGGTTTTAAAACCCTTACTTTAAGCCTTTTTATTCTGATAATAAATAATTGTCACCGAACTGATCTAAAATCTAAACGTTGATGATGACTGATGATCTACAGTCGGTTTGGACCGTCTAAAGGGTGCAAGAAAAATGCATTAGCTACAAACAAAATACGCTCTCACGTCTTCATGAGCTTTCTTGTTCGTTGTAATAAGGAGCCAGTTTAAGAAATTAATCATGAAATAAATATGTTATTTAAATATAGTTTGCCACACAAAATCGTGTTGATTGCAGTAGAGTCAGACTCTGCTAAGCTAGGCAAGGTAGCTGGCCTTTTTTAAGCAAGGTGATTTACTTTTTTACCTTCCATTATTATTTAGGATTTAGCTCCTGTTTGAATTGTGTGGGTAAATTGGGTCAGTCTCACCAGTTCACCGTTTGAATTTACCTCTATTTTCTAGTCCTTAAGAATTTTTGAGGCTTTTTTTCCCTTCACAAAAATGGAGAAATATAATATTTTTATGGTAAGAAAAGACGTCAAAAAGTCAAATTCTGATCTTAAGTCGATGTTGACCAAATATGTAGTTATTGCATTCTGGTTTTGTTAGACATTGTAATCCAGGGGTGTCAAACATACAGCCCCTGGGCAAAACCGGCCCACCAGAGGGTCCAATCTGGCCCACTAGGTGCAAGATTTTAGGAACAAGTTAACTGCACTTATTTATTCAAAACATCCCAGGTTGTTCATCTGTTTTATGAATGGATGAAGGTCTATGGAATGTTCTTGTACTTCTTTACACGAAAAGAAACGGACAAAAATTGAGCTGTTGTTATTTTAGAGGTTATTATGCAATGGTTTTATTGGTCTGACCCACTCGAGATCAAGTTGGGCTATATGTGGCCGATGAACTAAAATAAGTTTGACACCTCTGGCGTAAACTGTAGAGTTAAAAAAAAAACATACCTACACTCAACCAAAATGTTTGAAAGAGTGATGAGAATGGTCTATCATCTTTCTTTTACCTCCTTTTCCTGTTGATTTGTGTCTGTTCCCCAGGATAATGCGTGTGGAGCCGCAGGTAGTGCTGAACGTTGCTCACACAGTGGTGAGGAGGATGTCATCTTTTGTCAGACAGATAGACTTTGCTCTCGACTGGATGGCTGTGGAGGCTGGCAGGGCAGTCTACAGGTATTCTGCTGATAACCGTGTATATCTTATAAAAACAGTTTCCAGAAAAACAACTGTTGACAATAATACATTCATGTGAGAGCAGTCAATAGATGTTAGATCCATACCAAACAAGTCAACAATGGAGGGTCACAGGCTCATTTGCATTTTTGCAGCGACTTGAAGTTATCTGTATATTTTTCAGGCAGGGCGAGAAATCGGACAGTACTTTCATCGTGCTGAGCGGTCGACTGCGCTCTGTAATCATGAAGGAAGATGGCAAGAAGGAGCTGATAGGAGAGTACGGACGTGGCGACCTGATTGGAGTGGTAAGGATCATGATGGTGGGGGGGAAGACAGATGGCTGATAGTAGTTGGAAGACCATGAACATCTACTATGTTTTTCACTTCTAGTATCTTTTTAAATATTAATGACCGTATATCAGGATGAACAGAGTTTTTCTACAAAGTCTATCAAAATTGTGGAGGCCTATCTCTGCAAGTGTGATGGAAAAAAAAAAGATCCTTTATGTCATAATGAAATCAGGGGAGGGAAACTGGTGTTGGAAGTGCTCCATTTTTTGTGTTAGTTCCGCATTGAGGTTGTTTCATTTATTCGTTGTGCATCTTATTCATTCTTTGACCAGAGTCATCCGCACTTGCCTAACCATCCGCTCGCGTTCTTGGTTAGGATTGGGTTTTTGATGTTTAGGATGGCCAGTATGACTTCCTCATCCTGGCAGCGTAGGTTTCTTTGGCGTGCCCTTTTTCCTGTCAGTTGTTCCAGGTGGCGAAACTCTTTGACACAAGTTTCTCCATAACCTTTGCTTAATAGTTCAGTGGTGTTCATTATGTCTTCAGTTTCTGACAATGACTTTAGTTGTTCTTTTATCTCAGACATGTGTTAGGATGTCACATACCTTGACATGTTTTGGCTGAAACTTGCGCCTTCCTCAGAAGTGTCGCTTGGTGGTTGTGACGCATCTTTATCAGCCGATCTATCAATCAGCTAATATGAGGGAGGTGTGACCATCCTGACAGTTTTGACAGTTTTGACTTCCTTATTTTGATAGCCTTGATAGCTGATTGATAGATAAGCTGATAAAGACGCGTCACAACCACCACCAAGTGACACTTCTGAGAAAGGCTGAAGTTTCTGCTGAAACATGTCATGGTGTGTAACATCCTAACTAGGGCTGTAGTCAACCAAAGAAAATCTTTGTCGACTAAAGTACATAATCTTCAACTAATCGATTTTTGTCACTCTGCAGTTACACCTCCAAAACACTAGTTGGCGGTAGAGGACTGTGTTAAGTGCTGTAAAGTTTAGTTGATTCAAAACACACATTAAACATGACTTAATAGGGACAGTTTCAAACACAAGTACGCAAATCAGCTTCACTATAAATGAAAATTGACAAAAACTTGTCTTTATCTGGACACGTTTCCCCCACGAATACAACATGCTAATGTTATTAGCACAAGCCTATGGCACTTTACATTGTATAAATTAGCCTAGTGTCTAGCGATCTTTTCCTCTTCTCATATAAAACCAGGGACAACAGCTACATGTAACAAAGGTTATGGCACATAATTTGGCTCCGTTACAACTCACAAGATTCACAGACAAAACAACTGTCTTATACTAAACACGTTTTCCAAACAAATACAACATGCTAACGTTATTAGTGCCAACCTATGGCATTTTACATTGTATAAATTAGCCTAGCAGCTAGCGATCTTTCCCTTGTCTCATATAGAGTGTGCCAGTAAACCCGGAACTCCGTTAGCGCTTTTAGCACTTCCGGTTCTCTCGTCTAAAAGTCAATATGTGTTTTTGAATGGGATTTTGGTAAAATGCCTCAAATAAGGTCTGTGGTTAACAAAAGCTTAAGCAAGATTCAGGTTTTGTTCTACGACATAAAACATGTCAGTAAATACCTTACTTGTGAATTTTGAAGCTTTTATGTGTCGTAAAAAAGGCAGTTGCTAACAAGTTGCTCAATACGACTACAAACCCTGTTGGGGACATTAAACGTCATCACCCCCGAACAGGCGAGAGTGCTGGCAGTCCGCCATTACAGCTTCTTATTTAGCTTAAACAGGCCGCTTTATTTTAAAAACACTGTATAATGGGGTACAGTGTTTTTAAAATAAAGCGGCCGAAATCAGTTGAAAGCTCAGTGGCGGTGACGTCAAGAGTCATGCGACCGTGGAGCATGTAGTCCGTTAAAGCCTAATGTTAGCTTTTTACTTCTGGCGATCGCATTTAAGCTTCAAATGTGGTATGAAAGGTGTTCATATGTGAAGATTATCTCACTGAACAAAACCTGTAAGTATCATGAAACTTGTGTTAGCCACAGAGCTTATTTTCTGACATAATCCAAAACGCAATGCAAAAATCACATTCACTTTCTCTTCCGGGAACCAGCGCAATGCTAAACTTCCGGGTTTTGACGTCAGCCCTGGCACACTCTATAAAGCCAGGGCCAACAGCAGCATTTAACAATGGTAAGAGCAGTCAATTTGGCTCCATTACAACTCACAACTTTCACCGACAAAACAACCGTCACACTAAACACGTTTTCCAAACAATTACAACATGCTAACGTGATTAGCGCCAGCCTATGGCATTTAACATTGTATACATTAGCCTAGCGATGAGCGGAGATTTCCTCTGCTCATATGAAGCCAGGATAAATCCTGAAGTCTAAATCCCTAAAGGATAAATCACACACAAGACTTAAAATGCTGTTTTAGTGGAGGCTTTACTGTCTTCACAATTTATTGTTTCTTATGTGAAATACAACTAAATACAAGTTTCATTTCCACTGAAGGAAATCGTGTCAGTACAAACAGACAGGAGGTCTGCGTCACCGCGACACTGAGGGTGGGCGAGTTTAATGTTGTGTAAACAAAGGGGGTGCTTCGAAAACACCCCCATTTCACAGGTAACTTAATAAATAAAATAAGGAGTTAGTATCTCAAAATAATGACCAAGTGTCTCGAAATTATGGGAAACTTTTTTCAAAATGGGTTAGTATCTTAGAGAAACTAAGCTAACAGAGAGAAACTTGAGCTAACAATGAGTTATTATTAAGTGTCTCAAAATGAAGGGAAAATTTCTCAAAATAATTGGTTAGTATCTCAAAATAATGAGGTGCTTTCTCAATAAATCACCTCGTATTTCAAAACGAGTTAGTATCTCAAAAAATGATTTTCATTAGGTATCATTTCCCATCATGATGTTTTTTTACTTATTTTCATCACACTGGTGGAAATGGGCTTCCATACAAAACCCTGCAGATTTAAATATGCATGAGGAAATAATTACCAGTAATTACTCATCACTTAACATATTCACTGTCAGTATGTAAAGCTGAAAAAACGGCCTGCCAGTATGCTTTTCAAAAACATGACCATAAGACTGCTGTCACTGCCAGTAAATAAGATGTCAACCAAGTACATCTTATGAATATTGGGGGGGGGGCTGAATACGAGCTACAGACCAGCTGAAATTGAATTCAAACAAAACTTCAAGATAATACTGAATTTATATTATCCTTATATACTTTTCATTGTGACAAATTATATAAAGCAAAGTCACTTTGTCACACTTCACCCACTTTCCCATTGGCCAGCGTGGCTCATCTCTGCCCCGATGCTTCTATTAATACCTGGGTTGATGGATGCTATGGTTACTGTTACCTGGAGGAGGAAAGCTGTCGTGGCAGCTCCTGTGATTGTGATAATAGGATTGTAATAAAGGTAGCTAACGTGCAGACACATATTTAGCGCAGCTGTGTTGACGTCAGCTCTGACTGATGAGATGGAGAGGTCTTATTTATAGTTGCTTTTTTTCTTTTTTTTTTGGTCACTTGATTGATACAAAGCTCAACAGTCACAAAGTAATAGTGAAACTAAGTAAGATAGGTATTCGCCAAAGTGTCTGTATCTTGAAGTGAAGATTTATTTAGTAGTATATCATATCATGTCATGTGTTGTAATGTTCAGGAATGATTGGGGTTGCCTTTTACTTGTGATGGACCTTTTTTTAAAAAAAAAATATAATTAAAGAATTTACTGTTTCCTTTGTTTCTCTGCAGGTGGAGGCCTTGACCCATCAGAACAGAGCCACCACAGTGCACGCTGTACGAGACTCTGAGCTGGCCAAATTACCAGAGGGAGCTCTCAGCTCTATCAAAAGGAAGTTCCCACAGGTAGGGCAAACCTCAACTGAAATGAAAACGCAATTAATTTTTTTGTGTACAGAGTGTATAGTGATTTGATTGTGGTGATTTCCAAAAGGTCAGCTTTGAAAATTAATAGAGTTGATTTAAACCGTACCCCTGACCATGAGCATTTGAATAATTCAGCATCAATATAGTGGGTGAAGGGTTCCAAGACTTTTATTTTAACTGTTTGAATGGAAAAATACTTCACATACATTACATTTTGAAGCATTGTTATGTACATGATGAGGAAACTGCTGCTGTCAGCAGAGTTGGGGAACTCAAGGCACATGACTTGACTCAACAGACTTGAGCTGCAAATTCAAGGACTTGAGACTTGCCTTTGACTTGGTTTTTATTACTTGAGACAGGTGACTCGAATGGGGCTTTATTTTTAGTAAATATGTGCATTTTTCTTTATATAGAGAAGTTCTGTTTTTGAAACATGAGTTAGTTATTTCTAGTGCAATGCCCACAAACCTGGCAACCTACGAAGACTCAGCACAACAGTCGAGGCCAACCCACAAGGCAGCAATCATGGAGGGGGCTGGTCCAGAAATAATATCATTTGGATGCAAGCATTGTTGCTGATGATGGTAGTAAGAATAGAACAGTGCTATGCAAGGTCTGCAGCTCGGAAATTGGTGACACCACCACCGCAAGATTCAGTTTATTGTGTTCTTCTATTTTTCCTTAAGAGCCTTTTAGATGTATAGGGCTATATTATAATTTCAGAGCCCCTCTCTCCACTGTTCTTCATTTCGGAGGCTTGTTATTGGTTGCCACAAAATGTTTAAAATAAAACTTAAATTTTCATGACCACTGTCTGAAAAATTGATATGTGGAAACTGGGGTAGATCATCAGAACTTCATATGACTTGGCTTGTCTGGCTTGACCTATCGCAGGGACTTGACATGCTTGATTCTCATCACAGTAACTTGGGACTCGCTTGAGACTTTTAGGGTAAAACTTAAGACTTGGGGCTTAACTCTTGAGACTTAAGCCCAATTCACATTACACGATTTTCCCCCTGATTTTGCGTCACGGAGACTGTCGTAATCTTTTGAGTGTTCATACCTGGCAACGTGTGTTTCTGTCAGCGGGAGTCTTGCCAACTGCGTTACGACCTGTGTGTGCACACCACAAGATTTCTCCACCGAGCCCTCTCCGACAGAGCCCCAGATAACGCGGTGACGTCACCAAACTTGGAGACGATACATCGTAAAGGCATGGATGTACTTCCCAGTGTTGAATCAGATCTGCCTCCAGGGGCTGGGTCCAAACACAACGCGCTCCCTGTGATCCTGTGGACGCCGCCATAGTTGTTGTTGCTTGCCGGCTTGTCAGTGTTGCCAGATCTTGGGAGAGAAACAAGCAACCAGGGCTATGGAAACAAGCCCAAAAGAAGTGACGGATATATATAGAGAAAGGCGACGTTAGAGAGCAAGCCCAAATAAACAACTCCACTTTAGAAACATGCCCAAAAAACTGCAACCCGACTACCAATATTTGTAAGCAACTTTACAAAAAACAAGCCCAAAAGTTGTGGCTAATAAGCGGACCTGGCAACCCTGCGGCTTGTCCTCCTCACGTTTCTTCCGTCCTCCTGCGTGCTGACGTGGGACGTATCCCGCCTCTCATTGGCTGATGCTCTTTGTCATTCGTGTCAGACTTGCCAGATATCCAGTCCCAGTCAGTTGTGACTTGCTCCCGCCTGTGGCCATCTCTCTGATTACTAGGTTAGGTTAGGTTCTTTAATGTCCCCATAATTGTTTTCACACATCATTGTTGGTACTTACACACAGTCTCTTATAAAATGTTTGTGCCTTTCAGGTTGTCACCAGGTTGATCCACTTACTAGGACAGAAGATCCTCCAGCAGGTCAATGGTCCTCTGACAGGTGTGTGCATCTACATGTGCACCTAGTGTTGTCACATTGGTGTTCAACTTGCGTATGAAGGGGAGTTTTATTAATATGTACACGTTTGTCCCCAGCTCGCAGTTTGGCCCTCCACACTCCTGGCAGTAAGTGGGATGCAGGGAACCAGGCCTCCAACCTCTCCACTGTGACAGTCTTGCCTGTGTCAGAAGAAGTGCCTCTCACTGCCTTCACCATGGAGCTGCAGCATGCACTCCTGGCAATAGGTAAGAGGAACAAAATCAGGAGCTTAAACAGTTTCATATGTGTTAATTTCACTTCAGTCGTCCACAGTGAGGTCAGAGCTCAGGGTTGAGGAAACTTTAGGTCCTATGTGGTCTTTGTAAACATCTTACCACCCTACTGCTGTGCTTCTAGGTCACAAGTTACGTGTTACGTGTCTGGTCCTCATGTATTATAGATACTTCCTGCTATGACGTAACTGCTCTGGCTCTTCTCCCGTAGATTAATTTTAGATGTCCTGTTTACTCCAGTTTTAAATCTGAACTGGGACAGTGTTTGCTGTGTGTGTACTTTGGGTCAAGTACGATTACCGACATTAGTTCACATTAAATTAAGAAATGAGGTTATTATGACAGCACAGTATTTACTGTAAGGCTTAAGGGAATGACTGTAAGAAGCGTGGCAGACCTGGCATGTCTGTGTGTGTGCTTTAGGGCTTTGAATATATATTTAACAGCTAACAGAGTTGTGTTACCTGTACACCAAGTGCAGCCTTGGTTGTTTTGTTGCAATATTTTAATTTAAAGCTTTTCGCCAACTTACGCGCCACCTCTCTAAAGCAGTTTTCTTATATTAACTCCAGAGAATCAAGTCCAGTTATTGTCCGAATTTCTCTTTCACACATGTAGCACACAACAGGAGACTGTCTGTTTTAGACGTCTTCACACCTACTGGAAATACTCTGTTTGGTTTAGGTGAGTAGTAGCGCCTGGGTAGAGTGCGCAGGAGGCAGGATATGAGGTAGATTACACAACAGTCTTATAGCCGGTTCGTAAGTTGGTCATAAACACCAGATCTCTTGCTGTTCCTTGAATTTGTCTGACAGAATTTCCAGAATCTTGTCAACTCTACAGTTAGATATTTACATCACCGTCTTCGTGTAAATGACTCTCATATGTTTGTTTTCTTTCAATTTTGCGTGAGCCGCATGATAGAGGTGTCATCTCGCCCGCTAGCTGTAAATTGTCTGGACTGTTTCCTGATCTTTTCACACACGGACATTACATGGATTTTGTACTCGGGAGCTGGCAAATATAAAATCAATTTATTGTCAAATCCAACTGATGTGGACATTTGCGTTCTCACATACAGCTCCTTCAGGTAATGTCTAGATGATTTCACGTTTGCGGTGCATGTGTGAAGGGGGCTTCAGTCAAGAGGATTTAGTCGAGTGCTTCGACCAGACATATTGATTGTAACTGCTCTAATCTCTCACACACAGGTCCCACTCTTCTGCTGACTAGCGATATTATCAAACAGCGACTTGGAGTTGCAGCACTAGACAGGTAGGTTTTGTGGCTGAAAATGACTGAAAATTTGTGGGAATGTTGCATCCTTTTAAGCACCCACCAAAAACTCATACTACTACTCATACTAGTTTTTGCCTATTAATTTTTGTCCTTGGGCTCTCAGCCTTTTTTGACTCACTCATTAAATTCAGTTTAAGTATGCTTTATTGGCACAGCAGAAAAATGGATCTACTGTGTGCTGCCAGCTAGGCAGTGCCGCCTGTCATTAATGGACTCCTTTTCTCTCCAGTGTCCACGAGTACCGTCTGTCCAGCTGGCTGGGCCAGCAAGAAGACATCCATCGCATAGTTCTTTACCAGACGGACTCCACACTGACCCCGTGGACACAGCGGTGCATCCGTCAGGCCGACTGCATCATTATTGTGGGGCTAGGAGAGCAGGACCCAGCCGTTGGGGAGGTGAGGTGTTTGTGGTGGGTTAAGAGTGAGAGGAGAATGAGAAGCAAAGGTAGCTGTGGGTTTGGGAATTCAGTTTTTGTTTGATTGGTTTAGGGTTGCTTGAATGATGATTTGTTTGTTCTATAAAATGTCAAAGAATACTGTGAAAAAGCCGATGATCAAGATGATATCTTCAGATTGCTAGTTGTGCCAGACCAACAGTACAAAACTCAAAGATATACTTTTATTTGATTATTATTTATTCAATTTACAATTGCATGTGAAAAGCCTGAATCATTTTTCATATTTAAACCTTCAAAACTGATTTCTTTAATTGCCTGCTGCAGCTGAGAACAATGCTTTGAGAGCTGTGAGAGTGAACACGGGTGTTCTCACATAATTCCCCGCATAGTTCCACCCATCCTCCACCTGACAGGGGCGCTAATAATCAGTCAGGGAGATTGAATACACCTGTCTGGGCGTGTAGGGTCTTTCATTTCAACAGTTGGGAACCGTAGATTTAATCAAATGTATTATTGTATTTGTAACATTTCAACAGCTTATAAGTAAAGATTCAACAATTAAGCTATTTCATGTCGTCTGTAGATGGTTGTCTATAGCAGTGGCTCCCAACTGGTCCAGCCATTGGGTCCAGATTTGTCCTTAGTCATCAGTTCAAAGGTTTACACAGTTTAATATATTCAGTGTCATACTTGTGTTTGGCCATGTAATTGAGCTAGTTTGCTGTCTCTGGGCTTACTATCCAAATAAGGTGTCACCGAAGTGATTACTGTAGCTGCTCTGGACTATTTTCCGTGGCATGTTTGGTGAGCTAGTGAGTATTTACTTTAGCAGAGCAGTTGTACAAGGGTTTGACTCAAAATAAACTCATGTTCATCATAGTCACTGAAGTACCACAGAGGAATAAACTATACCAGGCTTTAGACACACACACACACACACACACACACACACACACACGGTAATTGTTAGTTTAGTTCATTGTTTGGTCTTTTCATGGGATTTGTTTGCTGTAAGAAAAATATTGAAAGACTATAACTGCTCTTAAAGGGCTAGTGTGTAATATTTGGCATGGTTTATTGTCAATCGTAATCTGAATCTGAATATTCTGCCCATTAATATGTTTATACAAGTGTATAATCGCTATAAAATAAAATTCGTTTGGTTTTCGTAGCCTTATATAGCCTTTTATTTATAT